CATGATGATGATGATGAGCTCTTATCTCTTCTTCCCATAATATGATGGTGGTGGTTTATTGTCAAAATAATAAGTTCCTTTCCATTAATAAGGTTTGACTTTTTTTCTTATATATCGCGTTTCATCATTTGGAAAAGGAAAATATTCATTCAAATGTTCATTCAGGCATGAATTTGGGAGTAGTAGATGAAAAAAATCATCGATTGTAAAATCTTTTTACAAGCAAATAAATATACAAGGGACATTGGTCTTGTTATCAAATAGCAAGAATAGAAAATTCACTTCCTCAATATTGTTACTGTGTGTGTTTGTGATCTGATTATGATTGAATTTGTCTTCGTTTTTTCTCAGCATGAAAAAATCAAAGATACACAGACAATTAAATTATTAACCCAATTTTCGAAAACACAAGACAAGAAATCAATTTTCGAAAACAAATTGGAATTCTATATTTTTTCAATCGAAATTGTCCGAAAAAACAAAACGTTTGGTTTTTTTACGTTTCAACAACAACAACAACAAAAATAGTATAATCGTATCATTTCTGAAATGAAAACATGATTATTATTATGATAGTGATTTTTCTTGGTTGGTTTTTTTCTCTGATTAATATCTACCTATATATGTTATATGTAATTAGGCTAATTACAATCAAAAGGGATATTATTATGACCACATTTTTCTTTCTATTGTAATCCATGATGATCATTATGAAGTACGATTACAACCAAACAAAAAGAAGATGATGACGATGAGCAAACATTTGTTGAATCATAATCATCATTTCTTATTTTTTCACCATTCACAATGTTAGTTAATGATAATTGTAATTGTAACCATTGTAATACAAAATTTTCATAATACAACAAAAATGTTATTAGATTACATTACACTTTACATTTAATTCAATTTAGGGGCCAGGTAAACAAAACAAAATCTAATCGATTGGAAAGAACATTTTTTTCTTTTTAAAACCTTCGAGCAATAAGTAATCATAATTGATAATTCATTTAATCGAAAATCAAAAAAAAAATTTTTTCACATGAAAAAAACAAGATCCATAAAACTAAACGTGCAGTGTTTTTGTGCTGTCAAAAACACGTTATATTTGTCCCTATGGCATTCATCGAATATTTTTCAAAATTCCATTTACATTGAGCCATTTTTATAGTCATGATGATGATCATTACATCTTTTCTTTTTTAGATTATCCACCAGTGAAAATTCAAACAAAAAAATTGCATCAAATGAATGAATGGATTGATCATGACAAGGTAAACTAGAGCAACAACAACAACAGAAAAAACTTTTCATACATTTAAACAAAACAACAAAATGGCAAAATATGAGAATGGAATGCCGTTAACCTTGTATTTTTCGCGTTGTTTTTAGTTGTCGAATATTTCATTTTATTTTTCAAATACTTTTCATTTCGATCTGGAAAGAAAACTATGTCAAGAGAATGGTCCCTTTCTCTCCATCTTTCTTGTTTTGTTTTATTATTCAATCATAAATCAAGGAATCAAATAACTGAAAATGAAAATTTCTATTTGAATAAAAATGACCAAAATAAAAATTGAAATAATGACAATGGATAACAAGAGAGAGAGAGAGAGATAAACGATCAATCAAGCCTCATCATCGTGGTCGTAATATAGCGTATTAGGAAAATTGAAGAAATGTAAAAAAAATTACGGAAAAAAATAAAATAAAAATTTTTAAAGAAACGGCAGCATTTAAAACGAGATTTTTTTCCTTATCATATAATCATTCTCTTCTTCTTTTTCTTCTTCGCACATCCGTTCTTTATTAATTCTCTTTTGCAAAAACGAAAGAAAACGATGCCTATCATTTTGTGCCATAATGGCTTAAGCTCCATTCCATTCATTGATTATCTGTCTCATTAAGCATTTTTGTATAATGAAATCAAGAAAGAAAAATATTTATGTGCCTGACATCAGATCATCAGTATTGAAACGATTATCATCCAGAAAAAAAACAGCATAAAGATGAATGATTCGTGATTATCCAATTAACAGCAACGAACAACAACAAGAACAACAACAGTGAAAACATCAACAAAACAAATGCAACATAGATATGGGAGACAAGATGAGATGGGCAAAAAAGGCAAAGAAAAAATTGAGAACAAAAATGATTCTGAGGAAGATTTCGTTTTTTTTCGTTGAGGATGATGATTGTTTCTTCTCACAATCATCACATCAATCTTGAGATTTTGTTGATGATGATGATTGAACAATCAACACCAATCATATATCAACGGACTTTGATTTTTTTTTCATTTGCTTTAATCTTTATCACAATGATGATGATGATGATTAGTTTGATGTTTATTGTTGTAATAAAAAGAATGAAAAACCCGGAATCGATAGATAAATAGATGGTCAATCCATCGATCATCATAGACAACATCAACATCTTATTGATAGAAGATTCCTATTACCAATCTATTCATTTAGAAATTTTAGCTAAACATATGAACGAAAAAACCAATCGATCGATTGATCTTTTTTCATCATCAGCATTATTATCATTATAATAATAATAATAATAAATAAAAGCAATCTTTTGGTCTAAATATAACAACCAAACAACAACAACAACAACAAAAAAGCCTGATTGATGATTAAATTGATTTTATTCGGTATATCGAATCATAGGAAAAAAACAGGAATCAAATCAAAAAGGCAAACAAGAATTCTTTCATCAAAAATAAAATCAGAGTGAGAGCTGCTCATCATCAGTACTATCATTGATTCAATTAATTCATGATCAAAGTAGAGAAAAAACATCAACATCCTAGTTGTTGTGTTTTGAATAAGAATTTCACCATCATCATCATCATCATCATCATTATTGTGTATTAGAAGGGGAAAGAAAAACTGACAGTCATATTTTTTTTTTCATTCATGGATGTGGAATCAACAAAAGCAATCATCAATCAATCATTTGGCAAATCATTATTTTTTTCTTGTTAAATTACACACATACCACAAGGCTTAGAATAAATCATAAGACTATTTTTATGTTTTGATCTTTATAATAATAATAATAAATTAAATGGAAAAATAGATCGATCGATCGAATCAAATCAAATCGATAGTTGTTGTTCGATTAATATAATATTGTGAACAACAACAAGTTTTTTGTTGGTTGGTCAAAACAAGACTAGTAGGCATCATCATCATCTTGACCTTCAGGCTGTGATATTATTCGGCTTTAAACAAGAGCGAAAAATAGGGGAAAAAAAGCAAATCATCATCAATTGTCATCAGGATTTTCTTTCTTTTTTTATCCATTATTTGGATTCAAATACAAACAACAACAAGCATTGAATGATATTCAAAGTGAGGAAAATCAGTTTGAAATGTGTGTGTGTGTGTGTGTGTGTGTGTTTGTATTTATGATTGACACTCTAGAGTCTAGTTGATGGAAAGTTTTATCTTTGTTGTTGTTGTTGTTATATGCAATGGGACTAACATGAACACAGAAAAAAACAGGGAAAGAAAATTTTTTTTGCACCTACTTTTATTCGTTGCTGTTATCGACAATTTTGACAAATCAAAATGAATTTCATTTCCATTTCATCTCAATTATATTTCATTTCATATGGGTGGCATTGGATTGAATTCTAAAAAATAGCCATGAATGAATGATGATGACTTGATAGATCGAAACAAAAAAAAATTATATTGTCGATATTTATCACGAAACATGTCAATTAAAATTATTGTAACGATATGCACATAGATTGTATTGATTGATATAGACAACTGACCAAATGAAACAAAAGGAAAATTATCATTATTAATTATTGGCAAAAACAGAAAAAAATGATAATTACATTTAGATCAAATCGTTTTTTCTTCTTCTTTGGCATTATCGAAATGAATTCGATTAACGAAAAAAAACTATACATGACATTTGAATAAATCCGAGGCGAGGCCATTCATCATCATCATCATCATCAAGAACAACAACAATCATTGTAAAATCAGGATAATTGTTACCATCATTATCATCATGATGATAAAATGTTTATGAAACCACATGAAAAAATCAAGACATCAACAAAAGATGATTCGAATCGGATATTCGAACGACAAACAAAGAAAACGTCACGTCTATTTTGAACAAATCCGGTTGATTTTGATGACTTGTTTCGCCATCTGTTGTCGATTGGGTTTTGATCTGTTGTCGATTGGGTCATGTTTGTGTGTGAAATCGATCAACTTTATAATCTCGCTTTATTTGAATATATTATTAGTGTCTCAATTATTGATTCGACTATCATAAATCGATCAATCGTGTGTAGTGAAAAACAAGAAAATCCAAAATTAATCAATTTTTATCAAATCGTTTATTGCTATAGCGAACATCATGACCATCATCATCACGAACTGCATTTTTTTCAGACGAAATAAAAATTAACAATTCGAAATTAATTGATACATCCATCCAATTGAATGAATGAATGAATGAATGATGCACAATCAATCAATTTTGAAATCGATTTGAAACTCGTGTTCGTTTCTTTTCATTCAAACATAAATGCACGTTCTTGTATTTATTGCTCTTGCATAATAATGCCCGATTGGTCATCGAAAAAAAAATTTCGTCGAATTTTTTATTCTTCCAAAATCGCTTTGCCAACAATTTAATCCCTTACACCGAGAGAGAGAGAGAGAGAGAGAGAGATTAAATCTCATCATCATCAAATTAGCATGCTGATGAATATGCTAACAACAAATGTAAATCTACAAAAAAAACAACGTCGATTTAAAGAAGAAAAAACGATTTCAACAACAAACAAAGTATGTTGTATGATGTATGATGATGATGACACATAAATAATGAATTATTTTCTTCTTTTCATAAGGAACGCTAATGATAATGATGATGATGATGATAATTCCCCCTTTTTACAGAAAAAAAATTCCACAATGAAAGCAAAACAAAACTTTCAGTTTTCATTTTATTTTTCGATGTGAAATCTTTTCCAACAAAAACATTCGAATTATCGTGCAAGATTTATTTATTTATCCAAATACGACAAAAAGAAGCATATAATAACAGCAACATAAACAAGAAAAACAGCTACATTCAACACATTTTGAGAATTAATATTCGGTGACCGATTAATGGTTTGTGTGTGTGTCCATATAAAAAGATATTTGAAACTTTGTTTGTCATGCAAATTTTTTTTCTCCTTATTCATTCATTCATTTGCAGCCATTTTACGTGGTGTCAAGTCACAACACACAAATTACAAAATTACTGATGATGGTGATGGATCCAAATTCAGTCAACGAACAAACGGGCGTTCACCAAGTTGTAAAAAATTGATGTGAATAAAATAACAAGCAAGCATATTTGGAACACGTACACATTTGTAGACAGGTAAAATTTATTTAATATCCACTTGCTAATAAAATTTTAAAAATCTCAATTTCTTTAGAGAGTTCAAATGCACATCGAAGGGTTTCACACATAAAATTTTCTTCGTCGTCGTCGTCATTGGTTGGATAGACACACATGGAAAAAATTAATCGATTCAAATCAAATCATGAAGAAACCTTGATGCTTTTTTCTCCCATCACAATGCTTGATTGGCAAACATTTACGTTTTTTATATATTTTGATTCATTGTTTCAACAACAACAATATTCGTGCATCACATGTAAACAAGTTGAACGAACAACAACAGCGAAAAAATTTAAATCAAAATGGAATCACAAATCTGTTGAATGAATCTCATGAACTATATTGATTAATTGGAACGCAGATCTCAATCACATCTTGGTTTTGTGTGTGTGTGTGTGTGTTTCATTTATCCATTCATCGTTAAACACACACACATAAACAGTAGTAGTATTGGACTTTTGTATTTAAAGTAAAATTTAAACGGCACCATTTTCAACAAACAACAGCAGCAAGCATTTGCTTTAAATGGCAATGAAAAAATGAAGGAAAATTCCAACGACATGACAATAAACAATGGCGAGTCGCGAAAAAAAAGTCCATCCATTGTCACCATCATCAACTAGATTTAGATTTAGAGAAAAGTCAAAAGAACCTAATTTGGCCGTGTAAAACGAATGACGATGTCGATTTTCGAAAAGTTTTTCCTTTTCATTTCATTACATTCACTTCTTATCTATTGAAAATCGTCGAAAAAAAAACAAAATGAAATTCGATCCATCTTTCATGTTTATCATAAAAAAAATTGGTGATGGAGATGTAACAATAAGCCAATGATTTGATAAGAAAAATCAAATTTATCAATCAATTTTGCCTTGATAATATTGTTGTATTGAATCCAATGGACCAGACACCATATAAACACACACACACACCAAAAATTTCAATGAATAAACCATAAACCAAATAGATCGGATTGAATGTTTCTCCTCAAAACACGCACCATAAATCGGCATCACCATCATCAGTTATGATCATTGATTTGATTGAAATTATTTTTCAACTCATTCGTTTTTTCTTATCATTTGAATGTCGATATTGTTGAATCCAATAATTTTAAAATGGAAAATGGTGTCAAATGTAATGAGGATGCCAATGAGAAAATATTGGCCACCGATCAGGCGATCATTTCATGCCATACCTGTTGCTATCCTCGTCATTGTCATTTGGATGCAAACACCATTTTTGTCTGTAATCAAACCATGTTTGGCTGAAAATGTTTCCGATAATGGCCTTTCACATTCATTATCCAACAATAATGGTGTTAATGACAAGAATCCATTTTGGTCAACGTCAACAATCAGACATGAAATTGATTATATGATGATCTCAACGGATAATGATGAATCATGTACATCGGATGATGGTGATTTGGGATCATCAACGGCTACTACAATCATGAATCAACCGGTAGCTTCAAACTATAAAGATATTGAATTGGAAATGTCAACATTAGCGGCAACCACTTCTACTTGGACATCGACAACAACGATGAGACCCAAAACTTTGGAAATGGTTCGAAAAAAAGTAAAAAATGGTACCCATTATCAAATCGGTATGATCAATAACATGTCAGATATTGTCAAATTGGTTCGATTTGTATTGTTACGTGGACATATCGTTCTGGATGCATCACATCGTGTTCTAGTCAAGAATGAATCACGTATCGATCGTTTAATGGACTATCTACATGATATTCAATTACGTCGTGGTAAATATCGTATCTTGCCAATGGAAGATCGTGATCTAGCTTGTCAATATATAGCGGATACAAAATTGCATATAAAAAAATTATGTCGAGCCGCTACATTTGATTGTCTTTCCGCTAGTGAATTGATACAAATGTTACCATCATCCACAAAGACATTCCATCAAGCAATCACACGTTTATGTCCATTATTATTGTTTCGACAATCTCGGCCAATTTGCGTATCGGATGTAAAAAAATTATTGGATGCTGCAAATTCCAATAAAAAAATACAATTAGTTGAACCAAGTATTGAACGTGTATGGATATTCGGTGTGCTGTTTGTCACCATTTCGATTCTAGTATCAATGGGTGGTTTGATCCTATTACCAGTGGTAAAAAAATCATCCCGAATGACAATATTGACATTTTTCGAAGGTTTAGCTGTTGGTGGTCTTTGTGTAAGTATCGTGATTGATTGATTTATTCATATAGTCCAAACTAAGTCGCATTTAATTTCATTAGGGAAGTGCCATTCTGCATCTATTTCCAGAAGCATTTGATATCGTGGATGAAAAATATCGTACATATTTCTGGAATACAACCTGTATATTTTGTGGCATCTATTTTTCTTATTGTATTGAAATTCTGATTAAAATTCTTAAAACTCATTATGGACGTAATCGTAGGAAACGTGTACCGTCCGTTATATTTCGCGATGATGATGTTAACATTGAAAATCTACGCTATTCACCTGCTGCTGCCACCACCAACAATCCAATTCGTTTGCCAACACCAGATCCATATAATAATGATGATGATGATGATGATGAAATCAGTGATCCAGAAGATTATCAAAGTGAACAGGAATTGGATTTTAATTTTGATGATCATCAACCAAAAATAGTGATGGAATCGACGACAACATCATCATCGAATAATGGTAGTCAGAATAAAATGGCCCTTACAAATTCAACACGTGATCAATTGGTTCAATGTTTATCGACAGTGAATGTGATAGCACCACCATCATTGTTGATTACCCCGAGACAAACACCACCAACGATACGTCGTTCATCTAAAGAACGTATGGTACGTAGTGTTGCATTACGACGGCAAGATCATGAAACATCAACAATCGTTATTGATACTGTAGCTTGGATGATTGTACTTGGTGATGCATTATTGAATTTTATTGATGGCCTTTCTATTGGTGCTGCATTTGATCGAAATATTCTGGCCGGTATGAGTATATCGGTGGCCGTAATGTTGGAAGAGGTAACCCATCGTCTTGGTACATTTGCCGTACTTATACGTGCTGGAATGTCGATGAAACAAAGTTTTTTCTATATTTTTCTATCGGCATGTAGCTGCTATCCAGGATTAGCATTAGGTATTGTATTGGGCGATGAAGCTGAAGATGCTAGTCCCTATATTTTTGCATTATCAGGTATATTTTACACTGGCCACTTATTGATTTAATATTGACATTCATTGAATTCATCTACATTTCAATAGGTGGATTCTTTCTATACATGGCCCTCGTCGATGTAATGAAAGCAATGACCAGAACAATGGAAAATGCATCTAGAAAAAATCTTCGTTCATTATTGCGGATATTAGCATTACAGAATATTGGTATAGTCATTTCAGCAATATCATTGGCATTATTGGCATTCTATGAAAAAGAGATGGATTTCGAAGTACAAGAAATGGATGAAATACGTAAAAATTCTTTCGTGTAAACATAATTACACCAAATCAAATGAAATGAAAAAAACCGACGAAAAAGGATTAATGAAAAAATCATTTATTTATTTCATATTTTATTAATATTTACAATGAATCATTTCATTAAATTATCATGATGCGTTTTATGATTATTTGTTTAAATCAAAATTTTCCTTCTCTGATATATCATTATTTATCTCAATCACTCTATTTTTAGGTGGGTCTATCACAAAAATTACCAGCAGCAGATAAAGTATTAGAATAAACCATGAGTTTTTCACCATAATTATTTAGAAATGTAGCTTTCGTTGTTTAGAATTCGTCTTATGCGTGTGGTGTGTGTGTGAGAGAGAGAGAGAGAAATGATGAAAGAAAATTTGAGGAAAAGATTCAATGCGAACAATATCGTTCGATATATTGTTTTACTTGACGTGCAAATCCTCTTGGATCACGAAGATAATGTTCTGCTGCTGCCGAATTGAGTGGGTCTTCAAAATTCAATAGATCCTAGGAAAATCAAAATTATTTCACAAATCACCAAAGTCTGATAATTTTTTTTTAAACTTACAGTAAATAATGAGTTAAGGCCGCAGACAATATCTTTTAACGACCGTGTAGGTAGCCAGCCATTTTCATCAAAACTAACACGTAAAATACTCAAACAAATTTCGCCCGATTCATTTATATTTGGATGATATAAACGTGTCAGACAACGTACTTTTGGTGGCTAAATTCAAAAGAAAAACCAATCAGATTTAAAAAACAAGAAAAAACAGTTGCAAATATTACAGCATATTTATATTCCAACGGTATATCGATGACGAATTTGAATCGACCACCATACCACATTGATTCACGCGGTGGCGTAATCCACAATTCTAGATTATGTAATTCATTTGGATTTGGTACAATAAATTTGCAAGTGGATGGAAGATCATCTTTCAATTCTTGTATATCTAAGTGAAAAAAATTTTAATCAAAATGATACAATAATGGGATTGATTTTACCTCGAGGAAGAAATAGATCTCTAGATGAAAGTGTTTTCTTTGCCTGAGATGATGAATCCGCTTCATTATTCGAAGGTACTTTTTTATTTCGCCAACTTCCGAGCATTTTTTCTTTATTGTTCAATGTTTTTCTATAAAAATTAATTTAAAAATTCTAGTTGTAAAGAAAGAAAAGTTTCCATGTCAAAGCCAACTTGATTTCAAAGTTCACGAGACACTTACCTCACGTTCGCGTTTTTTTTGTTGGATTTGAAAAAAAATTTTATCCAAAAAATTTGACCACTAATTAATTATTACTAATCGATGAGTAAAAACGAAGAATAAATTGCTTTTAACACACACTAAAAATAATTTAATCGATCGATAAGATTTTTGAGTTTTTCTAATCATCAATTCTCTTAACAAACACAAACACACACACACACACAATAACAAATGTCTGTCCATTAGGTTATGCCATTGCTGTTGATATAGACAATTTTTTCAACTTTTTCCCATTAATGCACATGCGTATTTCGAGAATAGTGCGTGTTTTGGGTATTGGCAACCTCACTCTCGTTCTTTCTCCTGTGAGTCTGTTGTTTGTCTGTGAGTATTGTGTGTGTGTGCTATTTATGTGCATTTTTTTACATCACATCACATACAGACACACACACACATCATTTCATATCATATCATATACACTTATTATAAACTTTGAAAATCTTCAATTTCTTTTTTTTTTACTCGAAAAAATAAGTAATTTGGATTGTTAATCCATTTAAATTGCGACGTGTTTATCATATTATTTGTTGAAAAATATTTCTTATCATCATCATAAGTTAATGACCGAGTTTTTTTCAACATCAAACAATCATATTCTCTCATCAATTGAAGAATTCTGGTCGTGTTTTGAAAGATTTCATTCTTTTTGTTCAATTTTTCTGATGAAATCATCACCAAATTTTTATTAATTTATGTAAAATGAATAACGATAAATTATCATCAGCTGTCATCATGGATGATATGACATCAGCAGCAACAATCAAAACGAATCAATCGTTGCTCGATAATAATCGAATTGAAGTTATTGAAGGTGAAGAAATTCAATCACTGGTCATACAGCAATCATCAAAACCAATTATCAATAATGATGATCATGATCATTCGAATATGAATGATTCGGATAATGTAATTTTAAATTTTATTTAAAAAACGTTCATTTTCCTGTCCTTTGTCTTTGTGTTTTGTTTGCTTTCTTTGTTTTTATTTTTTATTTATTTCCAAAATTACTGATTTCTTTTTTTTTTTTTTTTTTGCCTGTGATATATTGTTGATGATTATTTTTTTACATAGGATAAATTAAAGAAATTCTTTTTTTCGAAACCTTTGGTAAGAGTTTCCCGTTTTTTCATCTCATTTTTTTTTTTATTTCTTTTTTTCATTGACTAATTTTTAATTTTTCTTGTTTAAAATTTTTGAAATACTTATTGATCAATTTTTTTGTTTTCATTTTTTTCTTCGTAATGTGATGATTAAAATAAATATACAGGAAAGTGAACCCGAATTACGTAATACATCAACATCAAATGCAGGTGAATCTGAATATGAAAGTGCAAATGAAGAGGAGCTTGTATTTCAGAATAATAATGATGCTTCCAATATTGATGAGCAATTGAATAATGATGATGATGAGTATAATGTAAATCACAAAGATACAAACAAATTTGAAATGTCAAATGATTATGAAAATGAAGATGATTCTGCTTCACAAGAAGAATATGATGATGACGAAGAAGAGGAAGAATTGACTGAAAATATTGACGATGATAATGAAGAGAATGAACTATGTGATGGATCTGTTCCAGATGTTGATAATGAGCATAGTATTGATGATGATGATCATACGAATTTACGTGAATGTGGTGATGGTGAAGAATCGACACTACCGGAACATAACAAAACAACCTCACAGCCATTGATTAGTGATGAAAATGAAAATTCAAATCTTGATGACAATAATAAAGACAGTATGATGATCAACAATACGACAACAACAACGGTGGCTACTGCCGTACCGAAATTATTACCAAAATCTGCAAAATTATCTAAAGCTGAATTATTAAAAGCAAAACGTAATCCACAATATATACCACGTAAAGGATCATACTTTGAACATGATGATCGTGGTAATGATGATGACGACGACGACGATGATGAAGATGGAAAGAAGAAAAAGAATAAAGAAAATGATCAACAATTAAATGTGATTGGTGAAGAGAATGAAATTCAGGATTCTGCCGCTGATGATCAAAAAGTCAAAATTATTCCTACCGGTGGTGGTACGGTTACAAAGAAAAAATCAATGCTTTCATCGATGAAATTATGTTCAGATGCCCAGCAAGCATCATTGATGACAAAAGAAAATTCTGATTCTGTTTATCAACAGGATGGAAAATCTTTGCTTGAAAAAACTAACAATAACATTTTGGAGTCATCATCATCAACAACGGCGACAACAACAACAATGATAGCTAAATTAGTAAATAATAAAAATAAATCCATTTGGGATAGTAGTGAAAAATGGCAACATGATAAGTTCATTGTTGATGATCAAAAACCAAAAACACGTGAAGAATTGATCAATATTTATGGTTACGATATACGCACGGAAACAGATGCACCAAGATTGAATCGTCGTAGTAAATATGGTAAAGGACCACAACGATATTCACGACGATCTGATGATGAAAATGCCTATGCAAAAAGAACACTACGTAAAGTTATCATGAAATCAACACGATCACCATCTACCACCAATAGTAGTAGTACATCATCATCAAACAATAATGATCATCATCGACAAACAAACAACAATTCAATCCAAAAACAATCTTTGGAAAACAATCATTCGACCACCATAATGAATAATAAAAGGGATCGAGTTTTTGATCGTACAGTTAATAATAATAATAATAATGATCATCATTATTTAAATAATTCCCGAAATTCTCATCAAACCAAATCCAAAGATATGGCAACAACAAATACCAAATCATTATCATATCGAAATAGTAATAACAGTGGTGTCAATAGTAATTTAAATAGCCATCACCATCATCATAATGATAATTCTTCAACAACAGCAACAAGAATCTTTGAGAATGATCGAATATTTACAAATAAATCTGCTGGTAATAGATCATATAATTCGAATTCTAACAATATGGAAAAGACAATTTCGAAAACATCGACATCAATATCACAATCGAATAAATCGCGCGATGAAAATGTTTATGACAAAGATGATTTAATAGCTCAGCAACAGAAAAATTTTGCAGCCACTGATTTTGTCAATGTTATTGGTAAAGATACGAAAGATAATAACAATAATACACAAATAAGTGGTGGTGGTTGTGGTAATAATAATCCAATATTTACGAATGAAGATTTTCCTGCATTAATGTCAACATTGAAAAATAATGCTTCTGCTGCTTCCAATCAATCGAGTGATCGTAATATTCCTGAAAAGTCTCTAAACAAGAATACTGCTACTAGTAATGGTAATAGTAATAACGTTATCTATTATCAAATACCGAATTCATCATCATCATCAAAATCTGAATCGAATGAAACCACCAAGCTAACAAATGATGAATCAACGTCAGAACCAACTGTTCAAGCATCATCATCATCAACCGTTTCAGAATCAAATGTTGGTCGTCAAACTGTTCAAGAACATTCTTCAAGCCATTATCGTCAACAGCAACAGCAACCATCACATTCAACGACGATTGAAAGTTTACAATTTGAAAATTTACGTTATCATCATTCATCACGTAATAATAATAATAAAGTCAATTCTCAGGCACATTATTATAATAGTAACAGTAATCAACAATCCTGGAATAATCATCATCATAGGCAACAATCATCATCAAAGTCACATCATCATTCATACAGCCAAAATAATACAGCCAACAACCGAAAGGATAATAATAGTGATGAATCAAATGTATTGGTACATTCTCATCATCATCAGCATCATGAAACAGTGACAACTGCATCGAAAAACAACATCCAAAATAATGATGATTCAATGACAAAACGTTATTCTTTATTTCGACAAGTACAGCAGCAACAACAAAGAAATTTATATTCAAATGCAAATTCAGCTGCGTCTGGTGCTTCTGCATCGGGTATTTCACAGCCGCCTCCACAATCAGAAATCTCGAATAATGCATCTCAACAACAACAATATATTGAAACCGATACGACATCGATGAAAGATGCTGTTTACTATGAATCAGCTGCTTCTGCTGCTGCTGCTACAGTAGGTGTGGAACAAAGTGCAACAAATAATTTTGCCATCACATCGACTGCAACTGGAACACCACTTAGTCAACAACAACAACATCATCACCACCATCATCATCATTCGCATCATCATGGACATCATAATTATGTATCACCTATAAATGGATCACCTGCTGCACCGGTGGTTACTGTTGGTGGTGCTAATGTAGTTTCAACATCTGTTGCTGCTGCTCCTGCAACAGCAACAGCATTCATGCCGGCAGCTTCAAATACCTTAATATTTTATGCTGATCCAAATTCCGGTCAAACTACAGGACCACCGGGTACGGCCACTGCCACTGGTCCATTAAGTTTATCCCAAAATCATTATTATGCACCCGATCAATCTCAAGCTGCCGCGGCTAATTTTTATCTATCTGCTGCTGCAGTTGGATATCATCCAGCTGCTGCTGCTTATCTACCACCGACGGCACCATATCCACAAACATTATCAGCGGCTGCCACTCATCTTACGGCCCATCCTCATCAATCTCATGTGACCAATCGATATATGAATACTACAGCATCGGCTACCGGTACGGCTGAATCAGATCGTTACCTACAGACAAGACCACCGGTAACGGCCCAAAATTCAACATCCATTCTGATGAATCCTGCTATTGCATCCGCTTTTCCTTCTGGTTATCCACAATTTCCACCAACACCAACCGCAGCCACTGGACAACAATTATCTACTTTACCTGCGGGTTATCCAAATGTTCAATTAGGTGGTAATGTTGGTTCGTCCGTAACTGTTGGTGCTGGTTCAACAATTGCAGCTGCCGTATCGACTCCATCTGGATATCCGGAATCATATCGTGATGGTATTACTTATTATGATTTACTCAGTCAACAACAAGCTAAGCAACAGCAACAGTCAAAGATCAATAACAATACTCAACCACAGTCAACAACATCATCCACGAGTAATCGTCGTGGAATAGGCGGTGGTGGTGGTGGTAAAATTTCGTCTTCAACTAACAACAACGAATCGTCATCAACAACAAACAAAATTCAGGATTTAGATCAGACAAATTCCAATGAAAAATCTGTGGCTGAAACAACAACATCTTCCTCAACATCCAACGCCAATAATAATGAAATTTCGGCCAATAATTGATTTCTACAAGTGATATGATCTTCGATAGCAAAAATATATCCATATTACCATTCATTTTCATCATATTGTTTATTGGTACAAAAATTAGTTTGTCTTGCTGGCTTATCTCATCGATTTTTTCAATTAATCTATACACATTATATATCATTATATTATATTGTCCTTCCTTTAATAACTTTAATTTCATATTCAAACGTTTTTTCTTTTTTGTTATAATCAATCACTTGAAATTTAAATTTCGAAAATAAAAATTCTAATTTAAATTTTCGCGCTTCTTTCTATTAGTGTCCATTTTGACTGAATCGATCGGTGAACCCATTGAGTGAGAATAGGCTCACTACTCTGGTCCAAAATTTCGATGTTTTCACTTTTATTGTTTATAAATTTAATTTCTTCATTCACATCGAAATCAAAAATGTGATTCAGAGACGTTTGTTTTTTTCCTATCCAATAATAATTCAAGTTATTCATGTGGCTTTTAGTGGTTAAATTATGCGCTATAAATTGTTGCCACAATATCAAAATGGCAATGATCATGATGGGTCATTTGCCATCAATGGTTTCGTTATCAATCATAATCCATTAAATGTTCGGCAAAAATTTTCATTGATCTCATTATTTTCTCGTATCTCATTACGTCGGTGGTTAATCATTTCGCTTTTGTTGACAATCATTTCATTCTTTTATTTCAACGAACTGATACCAACTCAATTTCGAGGGTAATTCTGTTGTTTAATGCTAAGGAATCCACAGCATAATAATCTATTAATCTAATAATTTGTTTCACAGATGGATACGACTACCACCAAAGGTTAATTTCTATTGTTTTCGTGTAAGAAATCCCTCCACTTCTGTCGATGATTATGGTCAATTATTGTTTTCCACACAATTCAAACCATCATCATCTAATCATCGATTACGTTCGGATAGTCGTATTTTGTTATTTGTTGAAACACAATATTCACGTCTTGGGCGACAATTAATCGAAGTATTCGAATCATTACGTTTCAAATATAAGGCAGAATTATCGAATCGACCATGGTCCACGGCAACACCATTCATCAATCAGGATAAAGGCAAATTTTCGGTGATAATATTTGAAAATTTACATAAATATTTCAAATTGAATCAATACAATCGTCAATTATTGGATGATTATTGTCGCGAATTTCATGTCGGTATCATCGGTTTTCTTAATAACAATCATACTGCAAACAATTCCTCGACAATCATTACACAATCTTTAGACACGAATTATCCGGTAAAGATTAAAAGTGGCTATCAGCTAAAAGACTATCAACTCAATCCAGCTGCTACAAATGTTTTGCATATCACACGTTCAAGTTCAATAAGCCTTGGTCCAATCATTGGTGATGATTGGTTCGTTTTCGAACCACCACCACCACCACCACCACGTGGTATATCGAATATCACAGCCCATTATTCAAATTCATTCATTCCAATAGCTCAAGCTTTGATTAATGATTTTTTCGTCGATACATATCCCGGTGGATATCGTTATTCAACATTTAATCGTAGTTATGTTCATTCATTACAATCGAAAGAACGAAACAATGTTGATTATTATAACAATTATAAAGAACATCTAATGACAACAGTATTACTCGTATGTTTTTCATAATTTCGATTCAATTTTCAATTTTTAATTATAATTTCCATGAACACAGGATAACGGTTCATTCGATGGCATTCAACGAATACTCTTCGGTAATGGTTTTGATCGTTCATGGCTTCATAAATTATTGTTTATCGATTCATTACATTATCTTTCCAATGGAAAACTAAGTCTACCACTGAAACGTTACATTCAAATTGATATTGATGACATTTTCGTCGGTGAACGTGGAACTCGAATGAAACAGGCCGATGTTGATGCATTGGTGGAATTTCAACAACGTCTACAACTTTTCATGCCTGGATTTCGCTTCAATGTTGGATTTTCTGGAAAATATTTTCATCGGGGATTCGATGTGGAGAATCAAGGTGATGATCAAATGATACGTATGGCTCGACATTTTCGTTGGTTCTGTCACACATATTCACATAGTCAGGCGCATATTACAACGAATCAAACGGCCATTGAAAATGAATTGATAGCGAACCAAGGATTTGCTCGCAATAATAATCTACCAGTCGATAATGATTATATTGTTTCACCACATCATTCAGGTGTGTATCCGGTGCATGAACCATTGTATGATGCCTGGAAAAATGTTTGGAAAGTACGAGTTACGAGCACTGAAGAATATCCACACTTGAGACCATCATATCTACGTCATGGTTTTATCCATAAAGGCATCATGGTTTTGCCACGACAAACTTGTGGCCTATATACGCATACAATTTTCATTGATCGATATCCAGGTGGCCGTGATAAATTAGAAAAGAGCATTTTCGGTGGTGATTTATTCTACTCGTTCATATTCAATCAGGTGAATGTATTCATGACTCATCAATCCAACTATGCCAATGATCGTCTAGCACCATATGCATTTGAATCTGTTTTAAAATTTCTTCAATGTTGGACTAATCTAGAGCTACATTCATTGTCACCGATTCAGATGGCAAAAAAATATTTTCAAATCTATCCAGAAGAACGTGATCCTATTTGGATGGTAAATTGTTGCAATCAATAAAGTTTTTTATTATTGACTAGAATTTTTTTTTCGTTCATTTTATAGAATCCTTGTGATGATCGACGCCATTATAACATATGGTCGACGAAGAAATCTTGTTACCAATTTCCAAGATTTTTAATCATTGGACCACAGAAAACGGGTTCAACGGCTTTATATACATTTTTGCAGCAACATCCATCATTGCTTACAAACCTGCCAAGTAATCGCACATTTGAAGAAATTCAATTTTTCAATGGACCCAATTATCAAAAAGGTATCGATTGGTATCTAGAATTTTTTCCATTATCCAATTTAATGGATAAATTTAATATTTCGACAACAATTTCGAATGTTACACCTGCCCTTAACAATAATAATATGAATGGCACACTGGTACATAATCAACGAAATTATTTCGCTCGAACACCACCCAATTATTTGGAAGAATCGATGCATTATTATGAGAAAAGTAGTACTTATTTCGATGGTGAACAAGTACCAGTACGGGTTCATTCATTATTGCCACATGCCCGAATAGTGATGATATTGATTAGTCCAACATTTCGAGCTTATTCCTGGTATCAACATATGCGTGTTCATAATCTAAGTGTTGCATTGCAGTTTTCATTCTACGAAGTGGTTAGCCTCAATATACCGGACAAACATTTATTGGATAAAATTACCATGAAACGATTACGAGATCTCCGGAATCGATGTCTTAATCCAGGCATGTATGCCATTCATATTGAACGATGGTTATCTTTTTTTCCTCAACAACAGGTATGTCCGTGTTTTTCTTTTTTTTCTTAATCTAATTTAATTCCATGTTAATTTAGATTACAATCATTGATGGTGAAGAATTACGACGTAATCCAATCTCCGTTATGGATCATTTACAAACATTTCTTAAGCTTGAACCACATATTGATTATCGCCAAAAAATACGATACGATCATCATAAAGGTTTTTTTTGTCCAATAAATCCATCGACAAATGGTACTAAATGTTTAGGAAAAAGTAAAGGTCGACAATATCCAAAAATGAATCGATTAGCATGGAAATATCTACATCGTTATTATTGGCATCATAACCTTGCCTTATCAAAATTATTGAATCGATTACGAATTAATTTACCAAATTGGTTGGTTACAGAACTTTCAAAAAAATCATAATTCTCAACATCAAAATCAAATATTTTGTGATCATCATCATGAATAGCCCTAAATAATCAAAAAACAAAACAAATCGTGGCAAATGCAGCTGTTAATGTGGATGAAGAAGCAATAATAACCCTTCAATCTCGTATAATAATTTTTGTGCCATTATTTAATTGTGGAAAAAAACCCTTTTTTCTCTCTCTCACACACACATCCCTTGGATTTTTAGTGTTAATTTTTTTCTGTTTTTTATTCAATCCAATGTGTTAATCTTTGTTATATATCAAATTAGACATTTTTCTCTGATTTAAATGATTTCGGTTTTATGTTACGGAGACAGAAAGAAAGTGAATGTGATAATCAATTTTGACATTTGCGCAAACAAAAATTTTTTTTTTTTTTTTCAATATCGTTGATGATAATGATTTCCTTTTGCTGGATGGCTACACAATGTCGATGCTGTCATTCAATAAAGTCAATTTTTTTAGTTTAAAAATCCATCAAAAGATATCGCTGGGGATTGTAATTTTTTTTTTCTGGCCACAAATGATACAAAATGTTTGCGTGTGTATGTTTGTTTTCTATTTATGTAACTGAATAACTTGGATTGACGATGATGATGATGATGATGAGTATATCATAATCGACATCATCATCAAATGGTAAATTGGATTTTTTTTTGTTGGATTCATTGTTCGTCTGTTTTTTCTCTTTCTCTTTCATTCGCAATTTTATCCTATATCCAGAGACTGTGTGTGTGTTGTTGTTGATAAATTGAATAATTTCACCAAATAGAAACAAATAATCAATCATCTATGCGTCGATAAACTTTGTTGTTGTTGTTGTCATCATCGTCGTGGATTCATCCATAAACACACACACAGGTAAAGGATTTGTTTTTTTTTCTAATATTTCGGTTAACATTTACTTTTCTTTTATTACATGCAAATCAATTCCAAAACATTGCTAAATCAAAAAAAAATCAATAATTTTTGGCAATATAGCTACTGTCGCGACACAGAGATAAACTACTACTCAAAACCACCCACAAACAAAAAAAACGATGCTGATTATTTGATTTGTGATTTAATTTGATAATAATAATAAAAAAAACGAAATCTTTCATTCTCACAAAAAAAACGAATATTTTTCATTTCGAAAAAAAAACACAAAGTAAGTGTTTTCATTTTCACTTTTCCACTCACTCCCATCATCATCAGTTTTGTTCTTGATAATTTCAATTTTTACAATTAATGATGATTAGATTAGACCTGACCTGCAATTGGATGATTTGCAAGAAAAAAAAAATTATCACCACCAATGATGATACATTCATTCTTGAATCGAATGAATACTATTTATATGTGTGTGATGCATAAATTGTGTGTTGAATGAACGAATGAACGAACGAAAACGAAAACGAAAAAAATGAAAACAATCATTGATTGCTGATGCCTAACATTGATTGACATTCATTGTGACCAAAACACATTATTTTCAATGTAAAATCAAATTTTTTTGAATTGAATTAAATCACAAACCCATATCAATAGTGGTCAGCAAATATTTGACTATTTGAAATTTCGTTACAATTGAATCAAATTGTTTTTATTTATTTGATTTTCTAAGAAAAATTCTTTCTTTCTTTTGCAGACAAAATTTTTGACAACAACAACTTTCAACACCTTGCATATGATGATTGATTGATTGGAACACACGAAACGACGTTTTATTTTTTGCTAGTCCAATTGAATTTTTTTCAACACTTGGCATTTCATTTTTCTCTACTACGCTTCCAACAAAACATAACAATTAAAAATGTCGAATGATAATGCATCGATTGCATCATCATCATCATTGGCAGCGGCGTCTCGTTCATCACCGGCACATACCGATTTAAAAGGTTGGCTTTTTAAATGGACCAATTATATAAAAGGTTACCAGAAACGATACTTTGTTCTTAGCCACAAAGAACTTTCTTATTATCGGTATGTGTATTGTAAATTGAATTGTGAATCTAATGGTGATTTTTTTTCTTAAAAATAGAAATCCAATGGAATGTAATCAATCATGTCGTGGTTCAATCCATTTAGAATCAGCTATACTTCATTCATATGATAGCTGTTCATTTGATGTATCGAGTGGTCCGAAAACATTTCATCTACGTGCACATAATGAAGTCGAGAAACAGAATTGGATATCGGCCATCGAGTTGGCTAAAGTACGACTTATCCGCCAGATGGATGCCGAATATGATGATTATTTTGATATAACCCAAAATTTTAGTGAAATTCAAACAATGTTGAAAACTATGCAAGCAAAGTTGAATAATTTACAACAACGTAAAGAATTCCTTTCGAAACAAAGCAGTGCTTTCCAACAATTAATACATCAATGTGAACAAAGTGAACAGAATTGTTCCATGGAATTTTTGCCAAAAATACGTGCAATCAAAGAACGAGTCACGGTTTTCTATCTGACCTGTACGGCCATTATAAAGGATAGTATAGATTTTTATGATTGTGCCCAGGCACATAATCGAAAGCTACAGGTAATGCTGCAGCATGAATCACAAACACGTGCTGACTTGGAAGATCTGGTGAAAACATTAGCTGAACAACAATCACATCTTGAACAACGTGCTATTGAACATCAACATCATCAACAACATACAACTTCCGAACATCATCATAGTGCTTCTAGTCGTCGTGATAAATCAGAAAATGAAAACACAGAAGAAGAAGAATTCTATGATGCAGAAGAGAATGCATCGGCAACAGAATTTTCCGTAACATTCCCTGGAAAAGCTCATCGTATCCATTCAACACCGTCGACTTCATCACCAATTAATAATAATGATGATGACAATAGACCAACAAGTGAAAATTCTGAACATAAAAAACTTAATCATCATCGTCGCCATAAGAAATTAAAAAATCGTAAAAAATTAAACTCCGTGAATGATAGTAGCAATAGTAATGATGAAGAAGACAATGACAACTATGATGAAGAAGAAGCCAATTCATCCAGTGATGATAATGAAGAAATTGAAATTGATGTCGTCACAAGAAAATCTGTTTCATTTACTGCAAATAATAATAATTCCGCATCATCTGTTTGCGGTGGTGGTGGTGGTGGTGGTGAAAAACATGAAAATTCGAATGATAATTTTGATGGTCGTGTTTCAAATACGTTTCGATCCGATAGTCAAGCGTCGAATGATGAAGATCTAGCCATCATCAAACGTCCACATCGACAAAAAATACCGCATCGACCGAATCATAGTTTGAATTTATGGTCAATAATGAAAAATTGTATCGGCAAAGAATTAACGAAAATTCCTATGCCTGTGAATTTCAATGAACCACTTTCAATGTTACAACGTATGACTGAAGAATTTGAATATGCTGATCTATTGCACAAAGCTGCCAAAATGAATGATCCGTTAGAACAAATGGTTTATGTTGCCGTTTTCAGTGTTACCTGTTATTCAACAACCGCGAATCGAACGAATAAACCATTCAATCCATTATTAGGTGAAACATATGAATGTGATCGTACCGATGATCTTGGTTGGAAATGTATCTCTGAACAGGTAAGATATTTTTAGTTGACCATTTATGAATTTAAATCTTTATTTTCTCAGGTAAGCCATCATCCACCAATGCTTGCACAACATTGTCAAGCACGTGATTGGAATTGTTGGCGTGAATTTAGTATGACAAGTAAATTTCGTGGAAAATATTTGCTCATCAATCCATTGGATATAACGCATCTGGAGTTTCCAGCATCAGGGAATCATTATACATGGCGTAAAGTCAACACAACGGTCAATAACATTATTGTTGGAAAATTATGGATCGATAATCATGGTGAAATGAATATCATTAATCATAAAACCGGTGATTCTTGTCATCTTACATTTCATCCTTATAGTTATTTTAGCCGTGAAACGCCCAAAAAGGTGTGTGTGTGTAAAGAGTGTGCTTTTTGTTTAATTTTTTCAATAAATTCATTTTTTGACACTAGGTAACTGGAGTTGTTCTCAGTAAAGATGAGAAAATCAAATGGGTATTGAATGGAACTTGGGACAACAAAATGGAAGCATGTAAAGTGCTAAATCCAACACAGTTAACGTCCAAAAGTTCTAAACCTGTGATAGAGACTGGAACACCAAAATTGATTTGGAGACGCGTTCTTCCTACGTATGTGTTTCTGTTATTCGATTGTTTTTTGCTAATTAATCATTTTGCTCATCACATCAAATAGACCTGAATATGAAAAAATGTACAATATGACATTACTTGCTGTGCAATTAAATGAACCAGAAGAAGGTGTTGCACCTACCGATAGCCGTTTACGGCCAGATCAGCGATTGATGGAAGAATGTCGTTGGGATGAAGCGAATGAAGTGAAAAGTAAATTGGAAGAAAAACAACGTGCCGTACGTCGAAAAAGGGAAGAAGAAGCCGAGGAAGCAGCTGCGAAAGGTTTGCCATATGTTCCATATGAACCGGTATGGTTCAAAAAGAACAAGGATCCAATTACCGATAATCCGGTACATATGTTTACGGATAAATATTGGAAATGTAAAGAAAAACAAGAATGGTCCGCTTGTCCAGATATTTATCTTGATGAATATAAAAATTGGTCACAACAACTACAATTTACTAAATAGTGAGAGACAAACAAAACACTTTTTCACTCTCATGTGTATGTGAGTCAAATTGATGATATGATTTTGGCCAAAAAACAATGTTGTTGTTCCAATGCAATGATGAAAACATTTTCTGAAATTTTTCTGAAAAATTTTTGCTAGACAAAAATTATTGAACTTGAATTTTTTCTTCTTAGGTTTCCTTGAATTCTTCCGATCTTATTGATTTTATGATTTTTTTCAAATTTGGTGATGAATCTATTGTATTTATTTATGTTTTTCAAAAAATTTTCGTTTTTTTCATTGTTATCGAATCGAATTGAAACGAAATTATAATAATAATCAATTAGTGTTTGAGAAATTTTCCAAGTTTTTTTTGTTGTTGTGAATTTTTAAATAAAAAAACTTTTCCGTCAAGTTCTACTGATGATGATGATGAGATTAAAACATCAAACAATCAAATGATTGGCTGTGATTTTTGAATATAGAAAAAAAAACTTGTGACGTTTGTCACAATTTTTGTTGTTGTTGTTTGGCTTGTTGTTTGATTCTTTGGAATTAACTTTGATCGTTGAACATTTTTTTCCGTTTTTGATAAATCAATTGTGTTCACAGTGTGTGTGCCGCTGCTTTTTTTTTTATTTGTGCGTATGTAATCCCTAAACTCGATTTCCTTCCTGATGTTTTTTCGATTTCGTGTGTGTAACCTAAATGTTCAATGTAATGTGCAGTTCAATTTATCTTTTTCGATTTCGTTTTGCTGTTTGGCCATCACACATCGAGCAGCGATGATTTCGACGACGACGACGACAACGGAAATATACCTTTGAGTTGACAAATGTTTTTTGTGTGTGTTGTTTAGTGAATCATTCGCTGAATATTTTGGTTTTTTTTTCGTCTTTGTTTATTTTGATTGATTCTGAATATTAACTTATCATCAGATTATCAATCAATCAATCCAAGATGAGTGAAAGTAATCGTCGACGTTTATTTGAATTATTGAAAATTGAAGGCAATCAACGTTGTGCTGATTGTCGCGATGATGGTCCTGAATGGGCATCATATACACTCGGTGTATTTCTCTGTACTCAATGTGCAAGGTTTGATTTTTCATTTTCATTTTTGTTTTGTTTTTTACATTCATTTGTTTTTTCTTCTTCATCATGCAGCATCCATCGTAAGATGGGCATTCATATTAGTCGTATTAAATCGCTTAAATTGGATAATTGGGAAATATCACATGTACAAACAATGGAAAATAATGGCAATTGTCGTTCGAATGTTTATTATGAACGTAATGTTCCATTATATTATCGTCGTCCGAATCCACATGATCCGCAGTATGTAAATTATGATTTTTTTTATGAACCAATAATTGATTATCATCATTAGTGTTTTACGTGAACAATGGATTCGTGCTAAATATGAACGTAAAGAATTTGTCTCTGAACCAATGACTTCCTATGCAGATGATTATTTGGAAGGATTCCTTTATAAACGAGGAAAAGAAGATGGAAAATTCTTGCCACGGAAATTTGTTTTATCATCCGTCGAGGGAACACTTAAATATTTCATCAAAGAGGTTTGTATTCGTTTTCTTTTTTTCGATGCGATTGATTCATTGAATTTTTTGATTCGCAAAAAATAGACAAGCAAAACACCGAAAGCCGTGATTAAAGTTGTATCGGCAAATGTAACATTTTGTACGAACAAAATCAATAATCCAAATGCATTGCAAATATCCTGGAATAAAGATGGCTTCACACGAAGTATCTTTGTCTATAGTGATTCTGGTAAAGATATTATCGATTGGTATACGGCTATCCGAGCGACAAAACTTCGCCATCTACAAATTGCCTTTCCTGAAGTGCCGAATGATGAACTGATACTTTGTTTAAGTCGTGATTATCTTAAAGAAGGTTTCCTATGGAAAACTGGTCCACGATCGACGGATTCATATAAAAAACGATGGTTTATTTTGGATGAAAATCGAAAACTGATGTATCTAGAACATCCATTAGAACCATATCCTAAAGGCGAAATTTTTATCGGTGATTCTAGTGAAGGATATTCGGTACAAACTGGTATCATTAATGGCATGAAAGATTTCGAACAAGGACATTCATTTACATTGATAACTCCAGGTTAGTATTGCTGACAACCGATAGGTGGCGTTACAGTAGTCATCATTTTATAAATATACACTATTCATTATGAGACTTTTTTAATTAATTCTGAATTTTTCAATTATTTTCTCTCTTTTTGGGTCGAATGGATTGGATTGAATGGTAATCTCACGCCACAACTAACAATAGGAAGAAATTGGTGTCTAGGTGTTGAAACAGCGGATGAGATGCAACAATGGATACAGGCATTAGAATCAGTTATAAATCGGCGATCATCAATACCCAATGATGCAATGAAGGAATCAACACGTAATGATCTTCGTGATTCCTATATCAAAAGAAGTATGTGTGTTTGATTGATTGAATTTATACAAAAAACATCAAAATCAAAATCGTTTTTTATTGTTGATGATAATCACAATTTTCATCATCATCTTCATTATTTTAATCCATCAAAAAACATCGAAAAAAATCTCGTCTTCCCTTCCATAAATCTCTCTCTCCCTCTGCATAATCCATACATTATCCAATTCGTGCCTCTGTTGCCGAATCTCAAGCTTTCATCGAACTAATTAATTTTCTTTTTCCTTTTCATCGTTGTTATCGAAGATGATCATCATCATTATCACCCCAGTTAATCTTTAGGTGGCTTTCTTTCTTTCCTATCTTTCCTTTCTTTTTCTTTTCTCTGATGATGATGGCCATTTTGAATAGACTTGTTAATTAAGATATCGATACACCTTAAGAACACACACACACACATACACACCCGCATTCATCTCAATATTGAGATTTTTAGCCACTTTTGCCCAACAAAATGGAAATTATTTTTTTTCTCTCTATATATTTTTCCATTTGTTCCTTTTTAGTAGATCATCATTACGGATCAATAGATATTCCCGTGCGTGTGTGTGTGTGTGTGTGTCATTCAATTCAATCACAATTTGATTTGACAAAGTGAAAAAAAATTTTTCCCATTATTCTCTTTCTCTCTCAAACAAATTCTCGTTGATTGAATGAATGAATGAAAAGATTGAAAGATAAGAATTTCATTTATTCATTCAGAGATTCAGATTTTAGCCGAATAGAAGTGTTGAATGAATAAATGAATGATGAAGATATAGATAACGTACACACATGATGCATGGACAAACATAAACTGCAACAACATAAATAATAAATTCCACATGGTATAGTGTCCAAATTTTTTTTCCGTTTTTTTGTTTTGTTCAGCCAAAACAACCATTTACAAAATGCATTCGATTCGAAATATAAAAGATCAAGATAAATAAAGTGTGAAAATGAGCAATAATGATGGTGATGGGCATGAAAATGAAAACATCAAATAGGAAATGAGAGAAAAGAAATACTCCGGTATTGTGATAAGAGAAAATGATTTCCACTCAAAATATGTATGTTCTGCATGTGTGTCAGATTTAATTAATACCACGCACACATCTCCAACATAGACAATGTGTGTGTATGTTGAATTTGAAAAATTAACCAACCAACTAAATCTTGATTTTCAATCTCAATTTTCATTTCATTTCATTTCATGTTTTTTTTGAAACTGAACAAGTTTTCCGTTAATCGATATAATTTTCTTTTGTTAAATTCGTCCATCGTCATCATTTTCATTTAATGGTGATGATAATGTTTTTTGGTTTTTTTTAAGAATTAATTTTGTTTTTTTCTTTTCATTTTCGTTTCATCCTCTAAACACCGAATAGATTCCAATCTATTGGATCAATTTAAAAGGATAGTCAAGTGAAAAAAATGAAAGCCGATGATGAAAAGCTATTGATGGCCAGTTGGTGCTCTTTTACTTCGTATGATTTTTATTCATAATGATGATGATGATGATGATCAAACCAACCAACAACCGCAAAAGACTCAATTATCTTATTGAAATCCTTATTGATGAAGCAAAAAAAAAACTCTTGAAACATAATCTAAAATGAATTTTATTTGTTGACGTTGTAGAAAAAAGTCAATTTTTCTTTTTCATTCTTGCTTCACGGTTCCTGAATCACACACAAGTTATTTGTCGAGATTTTTCTTGTTTTTTTTGGATGGATCACCACAAGACCGGAACAAATAAACTTTTTTTTCTGGGTTATATTTCTAAACTGAATTTTCTTTATTTTTGGTTTGGTTGGTTCCATTTTTCGGTGTTTGTTTGTTCAATATTCAATCGATTCGATCGATTTGATGATGATGATGATGATGACGTGATATATATTTTGATTGACTTTTGTTTGTTCAAGTACTTTACATGCAATACAAAAACAATATTGGTCCTGGTTTTGCATGTAAATAACACACACACACACACACACCATGATTGAATCATTCAAATCAACATGTCAAATGATGATGATGATCCACACACACACACACACACACACAATTTATTTAGTTCCTGTCGGCTTCATATAAATAATAATTTACTCATCATCCAGTGATTTAGAGTAGCCAGCAAGCTGAACATATTCACAATGAATTAATGAAAACCGTGCACAACAAACAAAAATTATCACCCGATTTTCTGATCAATTCATATTGAATACATGTGATGCGTGCCACACAAATAACGAATGTATTACGAATAACGATTACAAGCCGCTGAATTAATGGGAAAACATTTGACAGATTGAATGTGTTTCGTTTTTCGGTTTTCAGTGCTAATGTTTTTTTTTCTGTTGGTGTGGTGGTTTATGCGTTATCACGAATCGATGATATATGGATTCAAATTGGAAATTTTTTTTTTTTTTTTTGCTCGCTCAATTTATAAAACTTGGAATAATTTAAAAAAGAAGAAAAATTGAATACAAAACTGGACATGGTGGTTGTTTTTGTTATTTTTTCGTTCAAGTTGTACATGGCATGTCACACACACACACACACACACAAATAGATGTGTCTCGTGTCTATGAATATGGAATGGCTATTTTCATGGTTCATTCATTCACACACACACACACACAAAAACATATGACAATTTATTTCTTTTTTGTTTTGTAAAAATGCAAAAATAATTGAAAATTAATTCCAGACAAACGAATTTTTAATTATTTAAATGTAAACATCAATCAAGTGCTTCATTGTGAATGTTTCGTAAAATGTAAAATTAAGTAAACGATTCTCGTCAAACGATGATTACCAAGATGATGAATGGAATGGGAGGCACAATACAAAAGAAAACAAATCTCAAAATTTGAAATGAGCCACATTATATAACGCATGCATATAATCATCATTCATCTATGTTTTTCTGTTGAATGATCCAATGATGAAAATGAGAAAATTTTTCCATTTTTTTCAAGTTTATGCGATTAAACAGACAGACTACTAATAATACGAAAACGACGACAATCAACAAAAATCAATGCTTTGAAACAATGTCTGAACATTTGTTCTGGTTGTTTATTTGAAAATGTCAACACCACTATCACCTTGTTTCAATGTCAATCATCATGATTATCATTCCAACTTGGGAGGTTATGTTATGTGCCATCCATCATTCACTTGTATTTTGATTATAATTATTTTCTCCTGAAAAATTCATTGATGGTATACAATCATCATCATCATGTCAATGAAGAAGGAGAAGAAATTTGCATAAAAATTCAATTTTCAATGTGAATTTTCCCGATGATGATTAAATTCCTGAAAACTATCCTCTCTTTCCATCTCCATCTCCATCGTTATGCTGTTCATATTCGTCATAATGGTGATGATGACAATTAATAAACAAACAAGCATAAAAAACTTGAAAATAGATTACATGTGAATTGTATATGTGTGTGTGTGTGTGTGAAGTTTCCTTTAAATGTAACTCTCTGTTGATGATAAAATCAGTTGTCTTTTTGAAATTAACAAAGAAAACAATGACTATTGTGTGTGTGTGTAATACACACTTATTCCATTTGACACACACAGTGATTATTTCTCACGTATTCACATTTCAATTGAATCTGTATGTCTCTTTTTCTTGATCAGAAATCAGAGATCTTTTTTTGCTGTAATTTGATGGACAGATGATGATGATTGTGATGTCAAAACACATGTTTTCTTCTTCATTCATTTTTTTCCTTTCTTGTAATGATGATATGTGTGTGTGTGTGTGTGTGTGTAATCAAATAATTAACAAGATCGAAATAATACACCAACACGCGTTCATTTTTCTTCTTCTTTTGTTATTGTTGCACGTGTTTTCTACTGCATGGCACACACACGTGTGTATGTATCATATCCGTTGTCATTGTTTGTCATTGTCAACTGGTTATCATCGCCATCATCTTAAAAAGTGATCCATCATTGAATAAAATAAAACACGCCAATCAATCAATCAATCAGTCAATATCGATTTCAATTTGAAAAACAAAATTTTTTTCATTTCATTTCAAAACATCAATCTGTTTTGTTTTCTATGAACCAAACAAAAAAAAAAACAAAAGAAGCACGAACATCTTGTTTTGTTTTGTCTGTATATGTTTGTGTGTGTGTGTGTGTGTGTGTGTGCATGTTTGTTATGGCACATAACATAATTATTATGAAATTTCATATTCATAATTATACAATTCATTTGTTTTGCTCTTTTTTTTCTATATCTGTACGTCAAACATCATTTAGTGAACAAAATTTCACACATATTGGCAATTGGAATTTTTTTTTTTTATTCCATAAACAAACAAACATGCAATGTGTGTGTGTGTGTGTATGTCTGTGTTTGTTTCGGGTTTCATCATCACAAAGTTCAAGCTAATATTTTCTCATTTGTCTGATCAAAAAAGAATCCATTGCCATTAGTCTAAGATTAGATCATTGATCAACGATGAAACTGATGACCCTTGAATCTATTATATGAATCTGGCCGAAAAAAATGATGTGATTATTTAGAAATTCTGTTGTTGCTTGAAAAATAAACAGAAAAAATTTTCATATCCAGCAAAAAAAAAATACGTTTATATAATAATAATATAGCTTAATTTACATAAATGTAATAAAATGATCATAAAATGGTTGAAAAAGCTGCCGCCACAGAATATTGGATATTCTTCGTGTGATGTTTAGAAATCATCAACACATCATTTTTAACGAGTTAAAGATAATTTTGTTGTTTTGACATGAAAAAAATGGCGGCGACTTTTTTTTATATCAACTTTTTTTGTCCATAATGAATTGATGAATGAAAGAATTGGACTCTTGATCAAGCCATAATGTAACAAAAAATGGACAGATGTGGAATTTGGCTTTTTTTCTTTCTTTTTCGTTCATCAGATGAAAAAAAAATCGATTACATGACATTACCCTATGACCTCACGATGCTTATGGTGGTGGTCAATAATCATTTCGTGGAAAAAAAGATTGCCATTTTTTCTACAAACACACACACATATACATATGGATTGCCCTCTGGATATGATTTTGTTTGTTTGCTTATTATTTCAATTTTTTTCTGATTCCATCGATTCATTGCTTTTTCTTTACTTTTTCAATATTGAATAATATGAAATAGCCGATGGCAATCAATTTTTTTGGATTCTTGAAACAATTATCAATTGACACTGATTCCATTATTATTATTCCAAATGGATAGATGAAAATTCAGTTGTGGTGTACACACAATAGTCGCCCTTGAGGCTTTGGTTGTCATTTGATTATTATTTATGATGATGATATTGTTATGATGATTATTGTCGATGTTGTTCCGACCAATGTGTATCATTTATTTATTTATTTTTTTGGTATTAACTAATGCTGCAAGCCAAGCGAAAAGAAAAATTGAAACAATCCAAGAATTGGTAGTTGATTAATATTTTGGATCATTTTTTCATAATAATAAAAATTCCTAGACTCTTGACCATTAAAGAAAAGAAATAGTTTGTTTTGGCTAGAAATAGGTTGATTGATGCACCACTACGCGATCAAACACCAGCCACCACACACATACACTTTGATAAATAAGTGTGAACAAAAGAGAGAGAGAGAGAAAAGTGTAGAAAATAGATTTTTTCATTTATATTTTTTTGGCGGGTAAGCAAGAGAGAAAAGGCGGTACCGTTACTACCCCGAAAAAAAGGCGTGTGAGTATGCGCTTGTATTGTTGTGTACACATGTGTAGCAAAAATATAAAGTTTTGCAAAAAAAAAAAAAAAAAATTCAATTCAATTCAATCAACGAAACGCGGACAGACAGACACATTTTGTCCAGTTTGCGGTGTGCACACAACGACGATACATTATTCATACACCAAACATAAAAAGGCGGGCTTATGAATTGAATTCTACAACTGTATTGTACAAGTGTGTGAGTTGAATGGAAAAAAAGAGCGTGAAAGAAAGAGTCATTAGACTCGCTTCACTTTGCTTCGCTCATACACACGCTACAAATTGGCGAGCACTGTTGTGTGTGTGTGTGTGAAACATTCGAGATTCGATTATTATCATTCGAAATCTAGACTGGCAAAGTATGGATCGCTCACACAATGAGTATTTTGCCGCTTTTTTTGGTTTGTAATTTTTAGATTTTTTTTTCCAATTGTTAATGTGTTGTGCCACCATCGTCATATTGATTGGTTGATTGATTTTCATTTTGAAATTTAATTAAAATTTCCCTAATCACTAATGAAATTCTATTAGTAAATCGATGTTATCATCATGTGTGACTTTGATAAATTTTTTCATTCTGTGTCAATCAATGAATAATTTGACTTTCAATTAGTGAAATATCAATTGTGTGACTATGGAAGGATCGAATCCATTATTACCACTACAATCACCATCAACAACAACATCTGCATTTGGTGGTGGTGGTGCTGGTTCATCTGCGACTTCAAATGCCGCCGGTACATTAGCACGTTTAGGTGGCCGACCAATACCTGGATCATTTGCACATTTTGCATCCCCTATTGCACCATATACAATGCCAAGTTTTATGGCTACTGGTTTAGGTGCTCAACAACAACAGCCAACGGCAACAGCCGTAGCGGCAGCCGCAGCAGCAATGGCTGCCAATCATCCAGCTCATCAGGCAATGTTTCCAAATGATCATTCATCATTTCAATCAACATTAGCATCAATGGCTGCCTATTCATTTGATTCATTATTGAATGCTAATTTCAATCAATTTGCTAATCTTTTGATGATGAATCCAGCAATGGCGCAACATCATCACCAGAATGCAGCGGCTGCTGCGGCTGCCGCTGCGGCTTTAGGGTTACAGCCACCATCAGCATTACTTGGTGCAGCATTTGCAGCTGCCGCATCAAAGTCATCACCATCATCATCACCAGCATCAGTATCAGCAACAACAGCACTCACAACATCACCGATATCAACAACAATAAATCACCATTCACCACCACCAGTGTTGACAAATAATTCAAATCATCTAAATAGTAATCATCACCATCACCATAATCATCAGAATCATAATTCATCATCACCAAATTCAATATCATCATCATCATCACCGACACCATTATCGCCTGGAAGTTATCATGTTCGTCATCATCGTCATGATTTATTGATTGGTAATAATAATTTGAAAGAAAATCTGAATATGATGAGCACTGTGATGAACAATAATACAAATTCCACGGCAGCAAATACTTTAACAACACCCACAACGACAACATTATCGATACAAACTAATAATAATAAAATCAATACAGCAACGCCTAATAAAGGAACCAATCGTAAAGGTATGGACAAATATTGATTTTGAATTGATTTTTGAATAGTCTAGTTTTTTGTACTTGAGACGGTTCTTTGAATTATAAGATGATAATGATTTCTGACCTAATAATGAATGGCATATGTTGTTGAAATTTATTCAATTCAGAAAATGATGATGATGTTAATACATAAAAGATGAGGCATCGTCATTAATATATTTCTCGATGATGATGATGATGATCATATTTGTCTGAATTATAAATCACATTCTTATGATGATGCGGATGATGGCTGATGAAATGTATCATTATATAACCATAACATATTGACCACCATAATCATCATCATTATTGGGATAATGATGATGATCACTGGTCAATGTAATGTGTGGTTTTTTGTTTGTTTTTTTTCAAAAACTCAAACTACATCATCATCATCATCAGATAATGATCATCCTTGTTTGATCCGGATATTATTATTTAACACATCATATTACTTGATGATTTATTTGTTTTCAAGTCGAATGAGTCGGTTTTTTTTCTTTACCAATTTTTTTATTATTATGCATTAAAAAACGAATCTCGTTCGTGTGTTGTCATCACCTTTTATTTATTGTTTATTTCTCTTCGTCTTTCTTGTAAATTATGGTTTTAAGAAGATTTTCTCTTGCGTTCTCTTTTTGTGTTATTTCTATCCATTTTAATGGGTGAAAAAAAAGAAGAAAATCCATTTAATTACCATTTGGGCTAACGAATTTTTTTTCGTTTTTCATTCCTCTCCATTTGTAACATTTTTTTAGCACTTTTGATTGAGATGTCGTGCTCATAATATATAATGTGTGTTTGTGTGTAATGTATTCTTGTTTTGTTTTATGTTTTAACAAACAAAAAGCCAATTTATGGACCACCACATCACATTACGAATCATTGGATCATTAATATATGAAATGTAACAATTTGTTTGTTTTTTTCGGACCATTATTATCACCCTGTTAACGGGTTATTTTTGTTTGTTATTTTCGACCATGATGGTGGTGATTGTGGCGATATTCGTAATAGAATTGTATTATTAATAATAGTGTATCTCATAATAATCACAAGGAAGAAGAATATAATTTTTTCAGTCCATCCTCTCTTTCTGCCTTTATTATGTTCATTCTTTGGATCCAGAAAACAACGAATGATATATGGATTGAACCGTTATGATGATGATGATCATTATTATTATTATTATAATACTTGGATCATTGAAAATTCTTTTTGCAAATTATTTCCAACCAAACCACCCATCACATATCTCATGTCTAATATATAGAAAGGAAAGAATGAGAAAAAGTTGAGTGATATATAGTCTACATGTCCACACGCGTTTCTGGATCAAACGAATAATGGAAAAATGAGAATCCGTACACGATATATAGAGGTGGAATATATTTTAATTTTTGAGCCAAAAACAAACAAAAAAACTATTCAGACTCGCGTTCATCATCATCATCATGGCTGACTGCATGTCTGGTTGGATGAATGAATGAATGAATTGGTCTCATTTGGAATTCGAATCACAAATTTTTCTTTCTTTCCCAAGTTTGTTGGTCGTCGCTTTTTTTATTATTATTTTGAGTGAATTGTGTAGGTATAGATGGTTATTTAGTAGTCGATACTCGTTTCATACGTCGATTTTTATTTTTTTTATGCTTGTTCTTCTCACTGGTTATTGTTTATTTGGTCTTTTTTTGTCTTGTGTGTGTATTTTATACTTGGTTCCACCAATTTTCTCCCAATTCCTGGCACTGTTTGCCATTTTTTTTGTAAATAGAATTTGCACGATTGTTGTTGTTTGGATTAACCATTAGTGATGGCGTATATATATCATTCAAGTTTTTTATCATTATTTTACGTTCCTGAGTTTTTCGTTGTTTTCCAAAGCTATAGTGTCATTTTTTTCATCATAATTCTAGTTTGCTGGTGATTGTTTCAAAAAAAATTTTTGACTTTCAGGCCGACCAGTTTATAGCATAATCATTTTGTCGTTGTTGTTATTGTTTATGCATATGCATGATTCTCTCTCTCTTTCTCGATCATTGAAAGTGACAGTTGATTGTATGGTCAACAACAACAATATTATGATGATGAAGTGTTGATTGTGACGAATTATGAGTGAAAATGTTTTTGTTTTTTTGTGCTGAATATTTATTCAGGATTTTTTATTTTTAATTTATGAAATGAAATGAAAAAAGTTTTTCTATAATCTATCTGTGTCATTGATCGTTTGGGATTAAGCATTTCTTTGATTTGTTCATGTTGGAAATTGTATGTTTTTGGATTAATAGTTTTTTATTTTCTAAACTCTCCAAAGAATAGTGTGGACAGGCAAATTATTAACACATTCACTTTATACCAACATAAAGTGTGTGTGTGTGTGCAGGGATCAATTCATTCAAGTTAGCTGATGTTGTCAACAATTTGTTATGTTCTTTTCCTTCATGTTGTGTTTAAAAGGTGTGAAAGATGAATTAAATTTTTGTCTGTTTTTTTTTCGTTCGTTTACAATTTTCTCAAAATGACTAACTGACTGACTTGATAGTTGTTGAAATGTGGAGATCATGATTAATTGATTACATTGTGTATTGTATGGTGACCATTTGGTGTCTGTTAGACTGATAGCCATAGATGGACACAGTCAAGTCAGTTTCATATGTGAAACTGTTTTTCAAGGTGAAAATTTTTTCATGTGCGGAAACCCAATGTGTCATGGTTTGTCGTCCTGTTCATCAACCATCATTTTCATCATTTATCATTTTTTTCATCTGTCTTCCGTTTTTTCTTTTGCCAAAAAAAAAATAATTCATTTCAGTTCACCACATTCATTGTGTCTGTTATTGAATTTTTTTCATTTCATTTTTGAAAATTATTTTTCATTTTAGTAAAATTTTCTTGTAAGAATATCAGTTAATTAAACGGGAAAAAAATTTCTGAGAATGAATACCAGATGACAGAATTCTTTTTTTGATTTTCTTTTGTTCTTTAGAATTTTTTTTTCTTCTCTTTTTTTGGCCACCAATCGATAATAGGAAAAAATTTTGTACAAATCTGTACAAAAATATAGAGAGAAGGAGAAATCTGAATGAATTTTTTTCCATTGATAATAATTAAAAAATAACGGTTAACTTTTAGATTCGTGATTCATTCACTTAATACAATATACAATCACTTGAGGGTTGTTATTTTTTTTTCTTTGTTTTGTATTTCCAGTCCTGATGATGATGATTATGATTATGACGACGAAGAAGAATTTTTTAATTACAATTATCTAATAATTGACTTTTTTCTTTCTTTCTTTCTCTTTGTCTCTTGTTTCCTGTGTAACGATATGTAGAAAACGGAAAAATAATATTGAGTTCTTGTCTAGAAATAAAGAGAGAGAGAGAATGCGAACTTGTTTGGCACTAATTAAATTAATTGTTGTAGATTCTCTCTCTCTCTGAATTGAATTGAAAAAAAGCAGATACTAAAACTATTAATGAAACTGAATAAATGAATGTGAATGAATGACAAATAATAATTGTCAAATTCAATGATTTTTTTTCTTATTCATTCATTTTACTATACCGAATTTTAATTCAAATTGAACTTGGAAGAAGAAGAAGAAAGAAATTTAATTTTTTTTCCATTGTTTTAATTTTTTGTTTGTTTGTCTTGGCTTGATTTTTTTTTATTTTTTATTTTTTGGTTGTGTGTGCCACTCCTGAAAATGACAGACCACTGAACACGCAAATTTTTTTTTTCTTTGATGACCAGAGACATGTGTGTGTGTATGTGTCACCAAATTAGAGAATTTTTTTTTTGACAACCAATCAGCCATTTTCACATTCACATCACACAAACAGACACAAAACCAATGAACAACAACAACAACAACTCAGTAGCCAGAATGAAAATTTAAACCTATATGTGATGACAGATGTGTAATAAGGTGTGTGTGTGTGTACGTTGTGTGTCACCCAACCAATCAACCAACCAACCAGTCAACTAACCACAATTGTCATCATCATCATATCGTGATTGTTTGTTCGTTTTTTCGGAAAACCTTTAAGCTATAAGTTGAATTCATTAATGAAAAAAAATAGAAACAGAAAATTCTCACCAATTTTCATTTTTACCATCTGAATTTATTGGTGATGATTCACACAATGTTTGTTTGTCCTCTTATGACTGTTTTTTTCCTCTGTTTGAAAAAAGGATGGGTCAAATCCGGTTCAAATTATTATATTTTATTTTATTATTTCTTGACCGAATTGGAAAAATTCCAATTGTGATTATTTCTCATTTTTTTTCTTGATTGAATTGATTTTGATTATCACGCACACACACACACATCAAATGTATGGGGAAAATACATAAACACCATTTGTAATTGATTGCAATCGATTGATTGAAAAAATCTGTTTTCTTTTGTCCATTTTTTTTGGTGAAATATTGAAATTTCTTATGATTTTACCTTGAATAAAACATATAACATGTACACTCTTCAAATTATTCACAAAGAACATTTTGTCTTTCTTTAAGGTGTTGCCTATAAAAGATGTGTGATCGAGGACGTTTCGAAAGGTGAATTCAAACTCACTCCAGACTATTGTTTTTTTTACGAATTGAATTGAAAAAAATTGTTAACACTATTATTTCATTCTATGGGGCTGGGAATCTTTATTATTTTGATTACGTTTCGATCATTATTGTGTTCTAAAAAAATTAATTGATTTTATTATCATCATCATCATCATCATCATTATTGGCTTTTGTTTTCTTTTCCATTATTTTCTTGTGATAATAATGATTATTATTATATATATGTGATGGCGATAAACATACAACACTCCCATCATTGCCTCCGCCCATATTCGACAATTGAATTCTTCTTTTGTTTATTTTATCGTCATTTTATTGTGTTGAAAATCATCATCATTATCAAATAATGATAATGATTTTTCATTCAGATTCAATTGGATTTTCTTTTTCTTCTTCTTTCTGTTTGACAATTAAGTAAAGAGAGAAAAGAGAAAAACTAGTCAACATTGAATCTTTTTTCCATTGATCATTTTTTTCCAATTGAAACAATTCCGAACCGATCGTAATATTGGCTAATTATAGAAAGTTAGTTCATATGTACCCTATAGATATAATGTCAATTTTTTTGTGTCTGTTTATCTGTCTGTTTCAATATTTAATTAGCTTCTAATAAATAGAAAAATGACTTTGGTTAGGCTATATTGGTATGGTATGGTGGCTTCACTACCACGGTTCATCGGTTATTCGATTGAAATGATTCATTGAATAATTGACTTTTTTGTTTTGTTTCTCTTTTGTGCCAATTCAATATTTCCAACTATACGAATATTTATTATTGGTGGAAAGTATTGAAAAAATCAACAAAACAGTCCATCATTCATTTTTCATATTTCTTTCGATAAAAAAATGTAGTTTAGGTGAAGATCATCATCATCATCATCATAATCTTAATTAATTAATCGGTGAATGAACCAGGGGGATTCGAATTTTCTTTTTTTGTTCTGAGCAAAGTCTCTATATAGTCTACTATTTCGACAACAGTCGTCGTTCAACAACTTTTTTGATCGTCATCGTTTTTTTCACAATTAATTTATTATTATGGATAAAGTGTAAATGAGTAGTTGATGTTGTTGTTGAGAAGATTGAATCTTTTCATGGATTTTTTTAGTAGAAAAAATTTAAGTTTATGAGCTTGATGATGATCACCCAGAAAAAAGCGGCCAGATTTTTTTTTGTTGATTCTCTCCTTTTTTTTGGTTAACATCTCAATTATCTATTTCTATGATTTTTTTATTAATTTGTTCGTTTAGCACCATATTCACGTTTCTGATGTGAATATAGAAAGAAAAAAACTGCTGCAGATGCTATTGATCCGATTAGCTGTTGTTTCTTCTTCGTTTCGATCACGATTTTTCAATTAAAAACACGATTGAACAAACGATGGGGCGCTCTTAAAAATCATTCACAGTGTCAGCATGGTGTATGATTGGCGGTGGTGGTGGTGCTGGAGAGAACAAATTGAAACAAACGAACAAAAAAAAATAAGCAACGATTGATTTGTCTAGAATCTATAGATATAGCGGTGGATCGATAGTAATCAATTATAAAGAGCCAATGAGAAAAATTACAAATTGAATGAATCGATAAAGATGTCAAATGTTTCGTTTTTCTCATTTTCATTTTTTGAAAAATTAATCAAATTTTTTTCGTCTAATTTTTTTTGCAAATAGGTAGCAGCAATATTAATAATAAAGAGAATACAACGAAAAATGGTCGAAATTCTGGTCAAAATAATCATCACGATACATTGATAATGAATAATGGACGTCGTAATAGTCAACAACAAAAACAGCAAAAGCAACAGCCATCATCAATTTCATTATCTGAAATGTCTATACGAACAACAAAAACAACATCATCAACTAATGCTAGTCCAACATCATTGTCTGAAACATCGTCTATCGATCATACATCATCAATATGTATTAATAATCGTCATAATAATAATAATTTAATGGCGGATAAATATCATCAAAATCATAATAATGATTCAACATCATCGATAGCTAATAATGGTGATCTGGATATTTGCATGTCATCACCGGATATACTTTCATCTGATGATCATGATATGAACAACATGTCTTCTAATAATGATAATGATAACCTAATTGGCAATAGTAATCATAATAATTATTCGATTAATAATAATCATAATCATCGTAATGGTAATGGTGGTGGTGGTGGTACATCAAGTTCATTATCACGCCGTAGTTGTTCATCACCAAGTTTAGCTAGTGAAGATTGTGGCAGTGATGATGAAAATGATGATGATCCACATGATAGTAAACGTCGCCGGACACGTACAAATTTCAATGGTTGGCAATTGGAAGAATTGGAAAAAGCATTTGAAGCAAGTCATTATCCGGATGTTTTTATGCGTGAAGCATTAGCAATGCGTTTAGATCTGGTGGAATCACGAGTACAGGTAGGTGCCATATATTCATTTTTTTCTCTTCTTTCTTTTTGTTAGTTTAGGTTAGTTTAGTTTTCTTTTTTTATTTACAACCCGAAATTTCTGCGAAAAAAATGGCAATTTAATTAACCAAAATGTCTATAATTCCATTTTCTATTCATCTATAATTATTTTACTCTGTAAATAAAAACATAGACTTATAATCATCATCATCATCATTGTAATCATGATGATGATGATGATCATGAGATATTTTTTCGAAATTAATTCGGGTCAACCAATGATGATGATAACGATGGTTTAATGATGATATTATGTTTTGTTTGTTGGTTAGTTTGAAAAAAAAATCTTGATGATTGAGGCTTGAAAATATTATCATTTTCCTTGTTGTTATAATTTATATACAATTTGATTCAATTCAATTCAATGATGGTGATGATGATGATTCAAATGTGGAATGTGTGTCTGTGTTTCGTTGTTTGTTGATTTTTCTTTTTCTGTTTGTGAATTGTAATTACATTGTTATTGATTGTACTATTAAAATGCGATCAACTTTGTGAACAAACAAACAAACAGGCAAAAATGAATAGAAAACCTCAACCTCAGTAGTAGGTATGTGTCGCGAATTTATTCTATTTACCTTCTCGAATTGATAGATATTTGAAGCAATTGAAACCGAAAAAAAAATAATTCGACGATGATGATAGAAAATGACTTTATTTCTATTTCATTTCAATTGCAGAAAATAACTCTATTTTTCTTGTTTTGTATCAATCAGTTTTTTTTCGTTTTTCTTTATAAAACCGCCTCTGAATTGAATCTGATTCTTAGATTGATCTTTTTTACCTTTTTTGTCGATCAGTCGATTGATCGATGTGTCCATGTGTGTGTGTGTGTGATACACATTTTTTTGGTCGGTGGTTTCATACAAAAGTCGCGACAGGTCGCGCCACAAAAAAATAACGAATTGAATGAATGAATGAATGAATGATACACCATCTCATTTTTTTACAAATTTTTTTTTGTACTTGCCCCCTCTTTTTCCACATTACCTATTTAATGCTAACTGAATGATGACCGATGATGATGACGATGACTGACTGTATGTCAAACATACACTCGAATGACTTAATTCATAAACTCACACACACACACACACACAGAAATAGAAACATGGAAAGATTTGATTTGATGGATCGATCTTTAATTTCTATTTTCAAAGTTACAATAATAAATAACAACAATCTAAATTCTTTTCGTTTTTTTTTTTTGTTTTCTTCTCCTGTAGAATTACATAGCAGCAAGCAATGTATTTTTTTCGCTGTAGTTATTCACTACTACTATTTGACCAAAGTTTTAAGCAAAATACGAAAAAACACCGCGATTGACTAATAAGAGATCGAATTTATTTTTTTCCTCGCTACGAATCCAATCAATCAGAGCTAAAATTTAACTGGAATGAGTGTTGGTGATTAGGGGGAAAGGAAGACAGAATAAACTGTGATAGGTCATAGGTACAATAATAATAACATGACACGAGTCCCTACGAGTTTTGTCATTGAATTTACTTCAGGGTGAAAACACATTGTCATATGATCGATTTGTTTGTTTGGTTGTCGATGTGTTATGTACGTATAGCAAATGACAAAGGGCAAAATTTGTTTTTCTTTCCATTATAATCTATTATTACACTCTGGTCAGAGGGCATGATCATATCGATTCATTCATTCGATTGTATTGTAATTTTTAAAGTAAATGTTCAAAAGCGAATCGAATTAGTGAATTTATAATGATGAAGATTGATCAGGATTATCAATTCTTCATGATGTTTTATTGGTTTCGTAAACCAGACTTTCTTTTGTAATTTTGTTCATATTTAGCTGTCTAAATATTTTTATTATATTTGAAGAAAATCGTGGCGAAAAAATGAACCGTAATTTTTTTCTCAACATTACGATAAATGATGCATGAAAATGTTATCCAATGAAAGAATGTGTGGACCATATATGAATGCCAAATGGTCCATCTTTATGTTTAGTCAATGAAAAAAAGGTCAAATTTTTATTGAAAAAAAACAATTATTTGGGTGAATTTTTTTTTTTTTTTTTTGAAGCCATAAATCAACATTGCAACAACATTACTTGCCATTGAAAATTATCAAGTTTTGGTTCTTTGTTTCAATAATGAGAGATAATTTCTAGGGAAAAATAAAAACAAAACCATTATGATGATGATAATAAGTGTGTGTTTGTAAATTTCCATTGAAACAAGTCTTGGACGATAATCGCACTAGAAAAACAGAAAATTGATTCAAATTATATGGTGATTATCTACATCATCATTTTTTTCTAGCATTCCAATCTGAATTTATTCCAATAAAATGTCGTAAATATCCTTTTCTTTTTTTTTCTATACCGAAATTATCGTCGTTGAATTTTGTTTTTTTTTTTTTCACAAAAAAATGTGAATATTCGTATTTCAATCGGCCATTTTTTTCTTTTCATTTCTATACGTACAAAGTATAATCATCGTCGTCGTCGTCGTTAGGATTTTTTTTCCAACTCACCATCATTATAAAAATGATTTGCATACATTTCCAATTTTCGAACAGAGAAAAAAATTTGTTAAACTCATGAATGTGGTTCATCTGATTTTCATATACAAACAAACGAACAAAAAAAAAATCAACCGCCGATTAGTATTTTTAAATATTGAATAGTTTTAGTTTTTGCCAAATTGAATCGGGTTTTTTTCAAAAAACAATTTTCTTGTTACCATTAAATATGAATCTGATATTTTTCAGTTTGTTTGAGCAGATAGTTTTTTTCCCTTTTCAATTCTTCATGAATCAAGACAATTTGCATACATCTAATTTTCACCTCTAGAAGAAAAAAAAATTTGAATGAATGATCGACATGCATACACGCACACACTCACTACATTTATATCAAGGTGTTGAATGTATGTAGTGTGATTGGCATCGGCCAAACTACAAACAATATGTTTTTTTTCGTTGTTGAATAATGAAGAAATTGAACTTTGTTTTGTTGTTGATGTTGTTGCTGTTATAATAATGATGATGATGATGCCCAACCTCTTTCCTATTAATCTAGGTTCGTTCGTTTGTTCATTTTTTTTTTTTGTCAATCAAACATCATTGATTTCCAATTGGAAATGTAAATATTTGTTTGAAGACTTGCCCATAAGATATTTTTGTGTATTCAATACAATCTTAGATAGTTGTTGATCATCATCATTATCGGACAATCAGATTGAAATAGTAGATGATGGTAAAGTCAATTTCACTTCAAAGTCGAGTTTTCTCATTTTTCAAAATTTTTTTAGTTTTTTTTCATTCGCATTCAATTTAATTCAATTCAATTCAATCAGTTGTTTTAGCTATTTTTTAATGATGATGTTGATGACAGAATATAAAACAAAAAAATGAAATGAAATGAAATTTCAGCCTATCCTGATGATGATGATGTTTAATGACAATGATAATGATGATTTATTATATTTTATCATCATCAAGATTGTTGTCGAAATGAAAAAAAATGAAATAAAATTATAATGATGATGATGATGATGATGTGAATAGTGGAACGAAAAGAAAAAACAATGATTTTTTTTTTGGCCAAAATAGCAATAAGTAGTAAATAGTGGTAGTAGTAGTAGCCATTATGATAATTATCATCATGGCCAACGGAAAAAAACATCCTCATGATAATGACGGATAATGATGATGATCCACCCAATCAATATTTGTATGTATGGTACACGAAAATAGAAAGAGAGATAGAGACGAATTGATTTAAATTAAAGTTGATTAATTTTTTTAAATCTTTAATTGATTATTATGATTTTTTTTTTTGCATTTTCATCATTATCATCATCATCATTATGAGCATAAGCGATTGAAAATTTTTTTGCTTGAAGCAAGCTTTATTTTTTTCAAAAATAATAATTCGTCTGAAAGATTTTTTTCGACGACGACTAATTGGTAATTGATAGATACGGTTCATCATTGATGAATGATGATGATGATACAATCTATCAATTTCGTTTGTTTTTTTTTACCTCAAAAATGAACCAAAACAAGGGAAATAATTTTTTGAGAATGAAATCAATTTCATAAAAACCAAAACAAAAATTGTTACAAATTTTATACACAATAACTGAGAAATGAGCAAACAATTGTTTATTATTGTACCTGTAAAAGTGTATTTTATACCACACCAAACAAAAAATGAGCGACATAATAATGCATCAGATGTTGAAAAAAAAGAAAGAGAATCTCATTGAATTTAACAAGCCAAAAAAGAGATAATTAGCCTTAAATGATGATGATGATGATAGCAACATGGTCGTTTTTCGTTTTTTTTTTTCGAAAAAAATCTTTTTATTTTTGTCTTGAAATCATAATTTATTTTGCCCATTTCTCTCTCTCTCTCTCTCTCTCTTTTTCTTCAAGTGTCCAAGCCCTATTATTAGCAGCAATTACACTCATCATCATCATCATCACAACTGCAACTTGAATTCTCTATTACACAGAACCAAGTGTTTCACAGTGGTGGTGATGTGTTTGTGAAAATTTTTGTTTTTTTATATAAACACGACAAACCTCTTGCAACAACAACAACCTTTACCTTGAAATAGCCAAAGTGAACATGGATTTTTTTGTTTTTTTCTTTCACGTTTCGTTTGTTTTTTTTGTTGTTGAAAACATCAATTTTCATCATCAAATTATTATCTTTTGTTTAAATCGAACATCGAGGGATTCTACTAGAGTTCCAGAGTCTAGACCTAATTAATTTTACTTCCAACTTCTATAATGGGGGCGTTTGTGTGTGTGTGTGTGTGTGTATGAATGATGTATGTATATGAATTATCATCTTCATCATTATTTGACTAATTGAAAGTCAAGTCTTTTTTTTTGTTTCTTGGGATTCAATTTTTTCTTTTACTGTAATAATGATGATAATTGAGCCGATGATAGCCGGCCAAATACC